CGGAAACGCCTTATGCATGTACAATGTGACTACATGTGCACTCAACTAGCCCATCATTAAGACACACAAGCGAACTCACACGGAGAGAAAACCCTATGGTGTGATATGTGTGATCATAGATGCTCTTGTATGACTCAACTCAAGACACACAAGCGCATTCACACAGCGTGAAAAGCCTTATGCGATGTGACACATGCTGACTACAGGTGCTCTCCTATCCGTTTATATACATATGCGCTCTCACACGGGGGTGAGAGAAACCCGTATACATGTGACAAATGCGAGTATAAATGTACGACATCCTGATGCTCTCAGGCACACAAAGCGAACTCACACTAGAGGAGAAACCTACAGGGTGTTGACACATGTGACTACAGGTGCCCACTCATCTATCCAATCTTAAGAACACAGCGAACTCACACAGGAGAGAACCCTATGCGTTGTGATACGTGGGACTATAGCTGCTCTCGAATGGCCTGTACCTCAAGACATCACAAGCGATCACACAGGATGAAAAGCCCTATGCTTGTGATACTGTGATTATAGATGCTCTGTTATGATCAACCTCAAGACCACACAACAACCCGCACGCGCCATTCACACAGGCGAAAAGCCTTATGCAATGATAGACACAGTGTGGACTACAGGTGCGCTCAATAATCCAACTTAAGAGACAGTGCCGAACTCACACAGGAGAGAAACCCTACGTGTGTCGAACATTTGTTCATATCATGTCTCAACTTGAGTCGTCTAAGCTGCACTTTCGACACTCACTTCAGGTTGAAAAGGCCTATGCCTGTGACAAAAGGCCGAGTACAAATGTACGAGTCATCAAATCTCTTAAGCCAACACAGCGGCATGCATACAGGAGCAGAACACGCTATGCATGTGATACGTGTGACTGCAGGTGCATCAACGCAGCAAATCTCAAGACACCAAGCCTAACTCACATGGGAAGGATAAGCCCTAGACACGTGATAACACACTGCAATGACATAGCTACTGCTTCGCACGTGATAGGTGTGGATATATTTCCTCCAGGATTCGCTGCCCCTATTATCATATGTTGTTTGTAACTCCCCCCCACCTCTTTCATTTTCCATCGCTTGATCAGTCTCTCAGAAGTGCTTAGTGCGCTATAGATGTAATAGATATAACTGCCGTTTGTTTTTTAACTTTATGTTCTCCTTAAGCCCTGCCTGTTATAGTCGCCCTACCGATATTCACTATCGGCGACTACTTTTCGCCGATTAGAGATAGCAACACTCACGGTCGACTTGAAGTGACTTCACGCTGCTACATCGCGATCAGATCGTAGCATTTCGAGAGGAAACGTAGACCGGTTGGCGGTCCCAGTGCTTTGTACTAGCACAAGCAGTTCTTTAGCCCACAAACAGAGAAGCTTGCACCCGACCAGTCTACATAAAACGGAGTACATGATCAAACAAATGGCGGCTTACCAGGGAAACATCAGCGTAACTTCGTATAATCTATTCCTAGATTTTCTGAAAATGCGTTATAATCATGTGCAGAAAATAATTTTAAAAATTGCCTGATATACGGAAACTTAATATATATTTGAGAAAGGCTAAAAAAGATCTTGTGCAATAATCCCTCCTTGTAATGAGCTGTGTAGGCTGCCATTGTTAATCACGTGACTTTCTGGACATACATGTGACTGACACGTAGGCGTGTGATTTGGCTGGCCACTCACGATTTGTTCACGACCGCCGCATAGAATATGAACCATTTCTATTCTCTGCGATCGCAGTCGGCGACGTATTTTCATCGTAAAGAGAACTCGTGTCGAGTTTAGGTCTCCGATTATTTATCACGATTACTTAGTCCGGCGATCTTGGCCGGTTTTTGACGTACGCTCTTCAATTTTGTCGGCGACTAGGTCGTAAGGGCGACCTGAGTTGCATTTAGGGAAGGCCAGCCACCTTGTATATATGCATAGTTGACAAAGGATGCCGCACTGAGTATGGCGCTTGTAAGTTCGTACTGTGTAGCCTTAGTCTAAAAAGTGGGAAGTGTAAAAATCTGCGTGAGTGTGCTGTGGTGCGTATAAATACTGACTACATTGCTAATAATTATAATTGAGTTGTCCTATATTTCTGAATTGTATGAGCAAACATACAAACACGCTCGACGCTTCGGTACGCACACACACCGAAGTGCATGCAGGGCGCACGTAAGCCAGGTAGATCACCAGGCACGTACAGCAGGTATTACTACGCATGCACGCACGCGACGCACGCACGCACGCACGCACGCACATAAGCAGTATATTCACGCACGCACGTAAGCAAGTATCACTCACGCATGCACGCCATTGCACGCACGTCACGCACGCACCACATGCAACGGCACAGCACGTAACAGCGTATACTCGCCACACGCCACGTAAGCAGGTATACTCCCACACGCCCGACGTAAGCAGTATACTCCCACACGCACGTAAGCAGTATACTCCCCACGCACGTAAAGCAGTATACTCCCACACGGTACGTTAAGCCAGGTATACTTCACGCATGCACACACGCACGCATAGGCATCGACACGTAACAGCGTATAGCTCACACACGCACGTACAGCAGGTAATTTACTCACGCAATGCACGCATGCCGCATGTACGAAACGCACGTAAGCAGTATACTAACGGATGCACGCACGCACGTAAGAACGGGTATTACTCACGCCACACAACGCACTCAGCACGGCATTGTACGCACGCTTGTTAAGCAAGTATACTAACGCATGCACGCACGCCCACGCACGCACGCACGCACGCACGCACGTAGCAGGGGATACGTCACGCATGCACGGCACGCACGTAAGTAGGTATACTCACGCACGCACGCACGTAAGCAGGATATACTCACGCATGCACACACGGCACGCACGTAAGCAGGTATTACTCACTGCACGTCCGTAAGAGCAGGTATACTTCACACAGACTCATACACGCACACAGATTTTTGACACTTCCCTTTTTAGACTAAGCTTACGCAGTACGAACTTACAAGCCATACTCTAGTAGGCATTCCTTTGTCAATTATGCAATATATAAGGGCGCTGGCCTTCCCTAAAGCACAGCAAGTTAAAAACAAAACTGGCAGCTATATCTATACATCTATAGCGCACTAAGCACTTCTGAGAACTGATCAGCAATAGGAAAATGAAAGATGTGGGGGGGGGTTACAACAACATATGAGAATAGCAGCCATCCTGGAGAGCAAATGTATCCACATATATCACGTGCAAGCAGTAGCTATGTCATTGGCAGTGTGTTTTCACGTGTCTATGGCTTTCCTCCCATGTGAGTTAGCTTGTGGCCTTAAGATTTGCTGGTTGATTGCACCTGTAGTCACACATATCAAATGCATAGGGTTTCTCTCCTCTATGAATGCGTTTGTGTAGCTTGAGAGTACGCATCCGAGAGCATCTGTAGTCGCACGTACCACACGCATAGGGTTTCTCTCCTATGTAAATGCCCTTGTGTTGCTTAAGAGATTTGGAAGACGTACATTTGTACTCGCATTTGTCACATGCATATGGCTTTTTACCTGAGTGAGTTCGAAAGTGCACCTTCAGACTACTCAAGTGAAAATATGAATATGAACAAATGTCTCACACGTAGGGGTTCGTATGGATGCGTTTGTGAAGCTTGTGTTTGAGTAGCTTGAAAGCATAGAAATGTAGTCACACGTATCACAGGCATCGGGCTTCTCTCCTGTGTGAGTTCGTATGTGTGTCTTAAGACTGGATAGGTGACGGCACCTGTAGTCACATGTATCACATGCATAGGGTTTCTCTCCTGTGTGAGTTCGCTTGTGTGCCTTAAGATGGACTAGTTGATTGGACCGGTAGTCACACATATCACACGCATATGGTTTTTCTCCCGTGTGAGTGCGCTTGTGTGTCTTAAGATTGGATAGTTGAGCGCACCTGTAGTCACATGTGTCACATGCATAGAGCTTTTCGCCTGAGTGAATGCGCTTGTGTAACGTGAGGTGAGTCATACTAGAGCATCTATAATCACACGTATCACACGCATAGGGTTTCTCTCCTGTGTGAGTTCGCTTGTGTGTCTTAAGATTGGATAGATGAGTGCATCTGTAGTCACATGTGTCACACTTGTAGGGTTTTTCTCCTGTGTGTGTTCGCTTGTGTGCCTGGAGAGCAGAGGAGCATCTACCTTTGTACTCGCATTTGTCACATGCATACGGTTTTTCTCCTGTATGAGTTCGCTTGTGTCTCTTGAGATTATTGGACGACGTACATTTGTACTCGCATTTGTCACATGCATAGGGTTTCTCTCCCGTGTGAGTTCGCATGTGTGACTTAAGGCAGGTTAGTTGACGGCACCTGTAACTGCATGTATCACACATGTAGGGTTTCTCTCCCGAGTGAATGAGCGCGTGGGTCCGCAGCTGTTTCTCTAGCGCGAATCTGTGTCCACACATATCACATGCATGTGGCTTCCCTTGTCCTGCAGGCGGCACATCTAAGTGGGAAGACTCCATCACACAGTTGGGAAGCTAAGCAGTTTCTTTCCCCGCGCAGGTTCTCCCGTCTCTCGTTCGACTTACTGCGGGGAAAAAAGATCAACATCAATCACCAACTACCTTCAGCTTTAGACATTCTTACTGTGAACACGGTTGTCTCTTTCAATACAATGGAAATTTGCAATGATTTTGACCATCTTCTCCGAATTTAAGTTCATTAATCCACATGAGCACACCGATATCAACTGCACAGCTATGCAAGCTGACGTTTCCTACAAGTATTATGGTGATAATCCTCATATCTCAGTCGTTGGGCACCGTGTCACCTATGTCTTATTGGAGCCCCACTGGTACTGATGGGGGTTTGGGGGGAAATATGGCCTTGAATTTCGTTTAGGGATATGTTATAAAACTAGAAATGGCTGTTGTCGCCAACTACATGTATCCCCCGCGATCTAGTATGAGTGAAATATCTCCGTAAGGACGTAAAAAGCAAGCCAAGTGAAATAAGTTACAAAGACAAAGGTTTGTTACACAGCTCATCTCTCTCAGACGTGTAAGTATACCAAGTCTGGTTGCGATAGGTCAATTAGGAGCCGAGTTATAGAATGGAAGGGAAATATGATCAATTTCAATGTCAAGGTTAAATAAGGGTCGCAGTGACCTGGTTTTGGTACGCGACACGCCATCTCCCGAAGATGTGTAAGTATACCAAGTTTGGTCGCGCTAGGTCAATTAGGGGCCGAGTTATAGAGCGGAAGGGAATTATGATCAAGGTCAAGGTCAAATAAAGGTCGCAGTGACCTGATTTTGGTACGCAACACACCTTCTCCCCAAGATGTGTAAGTATTATACCAAGTTTGGTCATGCTAGGTCAATTAAGGGTCGAGTTATAGACCAGAAGGGAAAGTGTCTGCGGCAGCGGCGGCTGGACAGACATGAAACCATAGTATCCCCGCCGACTTTATCGCGGGGGATACAGCAACGCATTTTCATGGATTCTAGGTGCCAATAAACTGCTACAGAACATTTAATTTCATACGTGACCTTGTGAATACGAAAACAAAATATCCCCCGTAACCTAACTGCATGGCAGCTACGTGCGGAACGCGACAACGCGCTTTTAAG